TGTTCACTACTGATCTAAACTGTGCTTCTAAAAGAAAACTGCATAACTTAGATTGATTCCACCTCGGGTTTTTTGAATGTCTGTACCTAGTTTAAGGGCCCATTTAGAAGACTGGATGTGTAATCATCCTTAATGTGTGCACAAATTACATTATTCCCACCTTTAGGCCCCTTTACACAGCCAGAGCCCATGTAAAGGGTGCTTATTGCAAAAGGGAATCTGGCTCAAATATTTATTGTTTGAGCCACGAATGTGGGCAGTAATTGCTTTGGTTGTTAATTTGTTAAACCATTATGGGTATAGTATGTTCACTAGTTTACTGACAGATGGACATCCATTTAAAGCCAAGCTACAAAATATTTTTACCATTTTAGTTTGGATGGAAACCAGCTTTTTACCTTATGTTGTACTTTTTTATTTATTAGATAGGAGAAATGAGAGTTACCTCCAAAATGATGCTTTCAAAAATATTAATTTCTGTAACCCACACATTGGTTCTTCCCTAGCTTAGCCCTTGCTTCTGAAATATGTTCTGGCTGGGACTACATCTGAATCTGACCCCAGGCCTTCTTTTAGGCTTTGATTCTTCATGTGGGAGGAAACTTACACGTACATGGAGTCCCACTGAAGCTGATGGCATTTCCTGGAGGCACAGGGGACTGTAGATGGACTCTAATGGCAAAATCAAGGCTTTAAAATGTTCGGTAAGACAGTGTGCAAACAATTCATAATTTATGAATTCTGGCTTCTGCCGCATTTAGTTTGTGACCATTTCTGTTCTTTATCACCATATAGATTTGGGGTATATCTCCCATCTGTTTGTGGTTACCTTTAATAGTTGCCAGTATGAATCATGTAGTGTTCTTCCAAGCACCATTCTTATAGGCACCCTCTAAATATAAATTAAAAATGGTTGAAAAGCACTCAGTTTACATTGCTCAGGAGATCATAGTATATTAAAATAGATGGGTATTTTCATTTTTTTAGCTAATGAAAGAGAAATAAGTATGTACTGTGCAACATTTTTTCTTTTTTCACCTAGGGAGACTGAGAATGTGTAGTTTTCCTAGGTAATCTGTTTCAGTGTTTAATTATCCTCATGGTTAAAAAGTTTTTGTTACTGTGCAACCTAAATCTTAATTTTTGCAATTTAAGCGCAGTATTATTTGCACTATCCCTAGAGAACATGGAGAATAATTTATAACATTCCTCCTTGCAGAGACTGCTAAGTCTCCCTCAGTTTTCTATTTTAAAGACTAATAAACATAGCTCTTTCCTCATAGGTTCTGTCTCTAGACCACTGATATTTTTGTTGTTCCCCTTTGGACTCTCCCTAATTGTTCTACATCTTTCTTGAAATGTGGTGTCCAGAACTGGAGACAGTATTTGAGCTGAAGCCTTTTGAGTGTTGAGTCTAGTGGAAAGATTGATTTGTGTTTGTTATGAAAAGTGAGTGATCGCATCATTTTTCTCAGCACAGGTAAGGCATCATTAGGTGAACTGCCAGAATAGTCCTTGTCACAAAACCTGGAGTTTACTTCATCATCATCATCTGTCAGGAAAAACATAGCTAATAAACAGTGATTTACATGTGCAAAGAGTGTTTGATGTTCATGCTTCTCTGTCCATATTACAAGTCTGGGGCTGCAATTTGATTTAACTGAAACTGGACAGAACATTATATATAACATTCTAATATTATAAAAGTCTAAGTCTGTCTGTCTGTAATGCTTTGTTTGCACTCTGATTGACAGTCTCGGCAGCCAATCAGAGTGCCCTACACAGACAGGGACAGACAGCAGAGTGCTGCCATGACAGTGGGGACTGAGGGGCCAGAGGGGAGGGGGGTGAGGCCAGCAGACCTGGCCTTGCTCCCCTCCCTTACTCCTTGGAGGCAGAGGGGGATAACAGGGACTGGAACTCCACCATAACACAGGTGATGCAGTGGGGCGGTGAGGCCAGAAGTGCTGGCCTCGCCCCGCAGGTTTGCTCCTTGGAACCAGGGGCTGGCACCCCCCAATAACAGCAGGCAGGTGGGGAGGTGGCGGGGAGCGGGGGAGGTAGGGAAAAAGGAAGGGGAAGGGGTGTTCCTGGTGGCTGTGCCCCACTGCCATCACGAATGCCGCTGTGGTCATGGGCCCTGGCCCTGCCTGAAGTGGTGGAATGGCCCTCACTATGTTCCTGGCCCCAACCTGAAGCAGTGGAGGGTGAGGGGGGGAACAGCCCTGGCTCTGGTCTCAGCTCTAACCCCACCCCAAAATGAAGGCGGGGAGGGGAAAGGGGGGAACAGCTCCAGCCCCAACCCAAAGTGGTGTGGGGGGGGAAAGGGGAGGAATGGTCCTGGGCCTGGCCCCGGCCCCTACCCAAAGTGGTGGAGGGGAGGAATGGCCCCAGCCCCCTCCCCCTCCCCCCCATCATTCTTGATGGGTAATTGGCTAGTTATAGATAATAATCTTCTCTGAGTTGGAATGCCAGATAATCTTTAATGAGATCACAAGTGGTTAGCACCTTGATTTAAAGTTTTATACAAAAGATGGTGCCTTCAAGGGTAAAGTGTTCTCTAACACCATGCTATAGCTTTGTTATATGACTGACTGTAATGGGGAATGTCATACATTCCAGGGTTCAACAACTCTGCAGGCTGGATCCAGCCCACAAGGAGAACGGATCTGGCTCAGGAAGGTCTGATCTGGCTGCGGGGTGGCACAGGGGATTGAGGAGAATGCAGCAGAGCTAAGCCACCTCTGTAGCATCCTCTTTCAAAGCCTTCCCTGCTGTTCTCTCATGCCTCTGCTTACCTTCACTGCAGAGGGTATCTGCAAGTACAGGTGGCTTGAGCTTTCTGTGGGTGGGGGAAGTAGACAGATTTGTAGCCTACATCAGGGGGTCGAGATACAAACTCTGACCCATGGTGGCAAAAGGTTGTCAACCTCATGTGTTTAATCTGCAGATTGAGGTTTTTCACCCAGTCACATAGTTTAGGAGTGGAGATGATACCATAGGCAGAAGAGACATTGCTGCTGGTAAAATTCTTTAGGAAATAACAAGAACATCTGGGGAGAGATTTACTGGGGTGATTAATGACTTGAGGGTTAAAAATTGCTTTCTGAATACTCAGACTAATTGACTGTCAGATGTGACACACAGTTTATTTGATTTCATGGTTGAAATTATTGAACTAAAAAAAGTGAGAAAAACAGGGGGATGGTCCTTCTCAGTTTTATTGTGGTTGTACAGGTGAGACAAACAGACTTGACTCTTTCAGTCTGGTAAAAATCTTTCTCTGTGTCCAAAACCTATAAAATCCAGCATTTTCCTATACTCTTATAACTGAGTTAAATAAACAACTTCAGAAAACAGACATGTTGATGAGGCCTTAAACTGTTTGTGGGCATATGCTGATATAATAAACAACATTCATTAATTTATAAAGGCATAGATGATTTTAGACAACTGAGAGAGTGTCTAATTTACTGCAGCCCTATGGTGGTAATAAACTTACATAGTGACAAATTATGTGGATTTTTGTGTATTTGTTAGACAAGCCATTAAATAGTAATTGTTCACACTATTATTTAAAATACTAATAATTATTATTTAAAATAAAATAATTGTACACACAGTTATTTAAAAGCACTATTGTCTGCATCACTACTTTACAGTCTGGTGAATACATCTTAATAGATTATATACGTTCTCTTTGGTTAATTGTAGTATTGAATTTGAAAATCCTAGTAGGAAGTACATTTCATTAAACTAAAACCAGAATTAGTTTTAGCATACAAATAATGACTGAATAAAATCAAGACTAAGGTCTACAACATTAATAATCTGAAGCAGTATCACTTATGTGAGACACTCTGTGCCAATTATGACAGCAATGCAAAGTAAGTAAGAATAAAGGACATTATGCTTAACACCTAAGTACATGATTTCTAGGTGAAGTAGGTGCTCTCACAGTGTCAGTGAACTGTTCCAAGGGCAGCAAATATATATACATATAAATACATTATAGTATGTAATTCTATTGTGACTCTCTCTAAGCACCATCATTTTCACTGGAATTTCTTGGTAGTTCCAACTGGGAGATGGTACCTGAGTTAGGGAGCAGCTAGTTAGGAAATTAGAAAGACAAAGGGTCTGCAGAGGTTGCCTACAGTAATTAAGCTTTGTTGTTTAGTTTTCATTCATTGCAAGCCTGTATTTATTGAAAACAAGAATCACTACACATCCATTTTCAGGATTCTAGTAAATTCACTTTCAAAACTAAGTTCAATTTTCAGAAGATTCTCCAGGTGCTGAACAGCTTTCAACAAGAGAGCTTACTAAGAGTGAAACATTAGAGAGAAAATTTCAATAGACTATAATACAATGTCCAATCCATTGATCTAATGTGAAATCCACCTGAAAACAATACAATATTTCTTTAAATTGCTCAATATGTGTGAGATTTAAATATGAAATAATGAGCGAAACCTTGGATCATGCCTATCTTTTCCCACCTAGACATGGTTTAATTGAATGATTGGAGGGAGGACATTATGTAACTGTAGGTATATAAGGGACACAGGCAGAGAGATCTGTCCTATACAACTATTATTTCAAACCATTTTCTAAATAAACTAATTAAAAAAAAAAAAGAGTCTATCCATTAGTGATTGGTGAAATTCATCTGACATAGAATTCAGTGTTTAATTTTGGTAAGTTCCCAAGGTTCAGATATCTTCCTAAAACTTCTGGGACTGATTTTCTACTTCCTTGTATGTGCTTTAATCCATGATGCCAACTATTGTATCATTTACATTTACTTTACATTGATAAACACACACACACTGTTCAAGACAGCAGCAACTCTCAAGCCCCTTCTGTCTTTAAAATTATACCAGATTCTTTAAGCAAATTCTGCTCCCAGCTGGGGTAGTTTTACCAATGACTTGTTTCTGTGTTTCAGCATTTCCAGCTTTTGCCTGCAAGCAGGTGCCTGCGTAAAGATGGGGGAAGAAAAACATCCAAACAGTTCAGGCTTTAAGATGGTGCAATCTGAGAATCAGGTAAAAATTCATTCTGGGTTTCTGATCTAAGTTCTCAAAAGTGATGCATTTTTTTGACTGCCACCATTTGTAGGTGCCCAAAATGAGGCAGTGTCATTTTCAGTGTGGGTGTTCATCTCTTTTGGAAAATCAACCTCCCCTTTAAATGCCTTATCTAGGGTATTCAGCAACTAAGAAAACTAGAAGTAACTTTGGAAAACAAAGGCCCTTATGTTTTTGCTCAATGAATTTGCCATTATCCACTCACAGATAAATGGGCAGAGAACTTTTAAAGTCAAGGACTAGCCAAATTATCCAGAAAGCAATCTTTTTCCTTATAGCCAACTATACAGTCCTTGTTAAGAAGTGCAGCTGCTGCTACCTGAATCTTCATCGGTAGATGAAAAAATATAGGCAGGGAAGTACACTTGAGGCATCTTGCTTTATCATCTGGTTTATAAACCAGATGGTGAGCACCACTTATTTAAAAACCTTTAAAAATATTTCTCAATGTTACTACCTAATAACTTTTCCACAATTCTATAGAAACTAGCTGTATGTTTCCTTTAGGAGGCAGGAAGCATAAATAGATAGGCGGGTAAGTTGCTCATTTTTGTAACTCAGGAGCAGGCAATTATTTTGGGCAGAGGGCTGCTTACTGAGTTTTGGCAAACCATCACAGGCCACATGGATAGCCTTGCCCCTTGACAGGTGCCCCACCCCCTGGTCGCCATCTTGGGATTGGAAGTCCCACCCCTTAAACCCTGACCTTTGCCACCAGAAGTCCCTCCCCTTGCCCCCCAGAATTACTCCTTTCAGCAAGGGGTTTTGCCATCTCAGAACCAGAAATATGCCAGATTATATTCTAAAAATAAAACGTACTACAACATTCATTGATTTGATTTAAAAAAAATATTTTTGTCATGATTTACATATGTTTGTGTAGTGTGCATAGAGGTGATAGTATAAAATGAAGTCTTACTCTTGTATGTTGTGGGAGGGTGTGGGTGGGAGGGAGGGTATAGGTTTGTGGGTATGTGGCATGTAGGGGAGGGTGTGTGTGTGTTTGGGATTTGTGGGGGGGTGGATAGGTGTGGGGTGTGGATGGGTATGGAGTTTGTGGCAAATATATAATATTGGATGCTTATTTAGAACCAAAATTACCTTGGAGTGAGAGATTTTCTTCACAGCCATCTGGATACACTAATTTGGGTTTCACTGGGCTACAGTGGCAGACCCTATAATCCTGTTATCAGAGCATTCCCTTGGTCTGTAGGAGAGCCAAGTTTGAGTTTCTGCTCCAAGAAATATTTTTTGTAATGTAATTTATCCAGAGGAGCTGGGTGTTCCACAGCTCAGGTGCATGAGCATCCTACTCCTGAGCTATAAACTGTTGTGGGGATATTGATTTTGTGTGTGCAGTTCCTTATGGAGTGCTGCACAATCTTGTCTATCAAGCTATTGGATATTCTAGGGTGAGTCAATCTCAGTATTTTTTGAAGAAAACCTTTGAAAGATCTTCATTTCACACAGATATAAACACGGAAAATGTTTCGAATCTTAAGCATTTTTATGGAATGGGAAAAGTGTTTCCAGACACACCATTACTTTTACTGAAAGTCAAAAAGTTTACAGAGCTTTAGGAAAACCAACAAATAAGATGCCCTTACTCTTAACTACCTTGGAAGTTATGGGGGCTTGTCTGTTTTCAGGAGCACAGGGTTTTCTTCTACTTCATCAGGCTCATGGTATAAACAGCTCCTCCTCAGCTTCTGTCCAATCCCTCTGTCAGGTGTTTCCATGATCCATTTACATCTGATGACTTTGTTGCCAGATAATTTCCTCCTGATGAATGAATTATCTTCAGGAGTAGCTATCTTATAGTCCAGGGTAATTACATTTCAATTGTACTGTGTTTGAATCAGTAATGCTCTATGTTAGATCTTTGCCAACACTCCTTAGTACTCTTTCAAACGGATGATAAAAAGACACCATGCAAGAAAAGACCAGCCTTACAATCCAGCTGCAGTTTGCAGTCCAACACAGCCATATACAGAGTTCATAATGTCACAGATTATTCATAAATTGTTACAGACAGGTTCTCCAAATTGTCACAGTTACTTGTTAATTAGGAAGAATTAGAGTCTTTTGCTGAACGGTGGACAGATGCATGCAATTATAATCTAGGCTACATTATTTTCAATAAAGGAATACTGATCAACAGAAAGGAGAACAGGTGCATAGGTGTCATGGGCCATTAACACTTCTCTCAGGTGCATTATGAAGCATGTGGCAAAGTTGAATGAGTTCATTCAGCGATAGCTACAATCATAGCTCATTATTGAATGCCTTAGCACATGTCAATATCCTTACAAAACATGGAACAACTGCAGCCCCACAGGCAGTATTTGTACCAGTGGGACATGTGCCAGGTTTTCACTGGTAATGCCAGAATTTTTATTTCCCAGTCTTTCAGACAACAAAGCAAAGGTCAGAATATGTCTTGGTGCTGGCATCCCTACATTTATTTACATATAAAAAACCTGGTAACTGGTGGGCTCTGGTGATATCTGCAATTAGCCAAAGGGCAGATCTTGCCTCTGTGAGCTCAGTATAGGCCTTACCTATTCACACACAAACCAGTTTAAGTGATCAGAAATTGGTTTAAACCAGTAACAGAATAGATGTTCAGTGCACATACACCAGTTTGAAAATGGCTGAAACCTGTTTGAGATTAACCTGATTGAATGTAGTAGCAGACTTAACTGATTTGGCTCAAATCGGTTTATGCAATGTCTGTCCTAGACCCCTTGCTGATTTAAGATAAATCACAGTCCCCCAGCATCCCAGCATGCTTTCTGGTCTGGGCGGGGCTCTCTACTTCACAGCAGGGCTGACCCCTCCCCTCTGCTCCCTGGCTGCGACTCCAGAGACTGGGGGCTGCTTCTCTCCTCGCCCTTACCACTCCCTGCTAAGCAGGAATTCCCCCCTCCCCTCTGCCTTGCAGAGACGTGTCTGTGCATTAGCTAGCAGACCACATGCTGGCTATGGTCTGTACTGAATCAACAGGCAGAATGAACAAGTAGCTGGTAATATCCCTCATTGTTTTCTTAATGGGGTGATAAACACTGAGTTAGGGGTGAAAAACACTGTATCAATTCCCTGCTGGGCTAATCAGAGTGTCCTGCGGGACCTGGCCATGTCCCCCTCAAGTCAGTGCTGTGCAAGGAAGGGAGGGCTGCTCTAGCACCCCCGATCTTTTAGCTTGAGCCACTGCAGGCATGTGCCTGCATTTCTGCGATGTCAGTTCAGTTACAAAGTGATTTAGCCTAGCCAGGTTAGATTAACCTACAAAGATTGAATCAATTCAGGCTCAGGCTTTTTGAATGTCTGTCCCTAGACCATAGTACAATCCCCCCCCCCACCCCCCCCCCCGCCCGGTTGTCGGCGGTTCAGAACTGTTCAGAGAGGGAGGATGGGTTGTTGCTGCCCCTGTTTTTTGGAGAAAAAGCTGAGGGAGGAGGAGATAAGTACATCCCACAAGTTTTACTATGTCAGAGGGCCCAGAGTTTCATTGGTGATGCATAGGAGGTGCAAGAGGGTGCACGTGCACCCCCTGAGATTGGTGGTGCATCCCCTGAGAGAAGCACTGCTGGTGGCACCTGCGGGCGGTTACTACTTGCCAACCCTCCCCCACTTGCCACCGACACTGCCGGCGGCATCTGTGGGTGGTTGCCGACTGCTGGTCAGTGCTCACCTCCCCTGCTACTTACACCACCACTGCTGCCTGGGTTAGTCACCTACCCCCCGCCCAGCCTTTGGGAGTGCATGTCGTTCGTGCAGAGTTTAATAGTAATAGTAACACCTATTTGCATTCTGGCAGCTTTCATAGTAATTCAGGTTGTGGAAACACTATGCAAATACATAAACCCTACCCTAAAGAACATACAGCCCAAATGGTCCCCCCAATTATATGTGGATCCAGGAAATTACAAACCTTAGTATTTTATTACTCTTTCTATAGGCTAAATGGACATAGGACTGTAAGAGACAAAGGAGCCATGATTGCTTACTCTGACTCAGGCTGGAATTAATGCAACCCAGCACTAGTTAAGAGTGGAACCAGGGTCCCACCAGGACACTGCACTAGTTAACACAGTGCTAGTCCAGAGTGGAACCAGGGTTGCACCAGAAAGCCGGTACAAATATTTTCTATATCTCTAATATAACGGAAGAAACGTTTCTATGGTTCTTGTTTTGACTTCCATTACTGGACGTAAATTTACTTCTTTATTTCTTATTAATATCTCTTATCTTATTAGTATCTCACTGCCCCAAAATAAGAAGGCAAGAAATGATTAGATTTTTCTTTCCCACAGAAAACAAAATAAAACAAAAATCACCTGAAAACTGAAAACTTTGACTAACAAATGCCAACATGTTGCCTCTTGAGAATTGTAGTTTTGGCGTTGTTGTACTTTTGTTCTCTTCTCTGGCCCAGACTCCTTCTCTGAACTATATCTCCCAGGATACACCACAATCTCTCTTGTTGCTAAGCTTCATGATGCATGGTAAGAAATATAGACTGGGCAGGGAACATGTGATAGTCCATAGGGAAGAGTGTTCATAAAGTAGCTGAAATATAGCTACAATAAGGTTCGGTGGCAGCATTCCTTAAGTGAAATATTTCAGGTTTTGGGTCTACTATTTTTTTAACAAATGCTGACATTTTCCATAGAAAATGGATATTTCCCTTTCCCTCCTGCCCAAATTGTATAAATGCAAGTACAATTTCCACCCAAAAAACAGAATCTGTGGGAATGCTGCTTACCAGTCCTACTTGTTTCTTTTGTCAGCAATGCCTGAATATTGTTTATGCTATGCGTTAATTTAGAAAAGCTAGGTCAGAAAGGAGGGGTAGAAGGGGGGAAAGGGGAGGTTGTAACTTGCCATGAATGCAGTGAGGTTTGCAGTCATTCCTAAGCCTTTTCTGCAAGTGAATTCCAGATTGCTGAATGTTTTGCTTCTTGTATATACAAGTTGCTCTCTTGAGTTTGACAGGTCTATTGTTCCAGCTGGAATGTAGCTGTCATAAAAGGTCATGATTATGCAGGATTATAGTTTTAGTTAATTGCGTTAAACTTCTTCAGGTCACTAGAGATCATGATCAGGCAGATGATTTCAGAAGACTTTGCAAATTAGGACCAAATCTTTGAATGCAAATTCAAGAGAAGTCTAGAGAACAAATGGAAAACTGCAGTGATATATTCTTGCTGGCCTGTGTTGCTGAGCAGATGGACTGTTGTGCTGTGAATCAGATACAGGTTTTTAATTGTTTATGAGTTTTTAAGGATAGTGGTTTCATACCCTAGGTAGAGAGTTGTCAAGCCTTGATGTCACCACAGTGATGAACAGTGAAGTTTGATTTCAACAAAATGGGGCAGAAAATGGGAATTTTTTGTGACGGTGGCTAGGTAGTATTCCGAAGTCCGCTGTTAAGTCCACTGCTGCAATCTGCTTTAATGATCAGAGAACAGACGCCTTACTGGAGAGTGATTTTATGGTGGTGATGACTTCTTTGAAGTGCTTCTCTCTCTTCACTGGTATCACTTCAGTCTTCTTTGCAGGATTCTGCTTCAGCCAGCTACTTTTCATCCGTATTCAGACACAGAGAGCTCTGTATTGTCCTGTGCTGAAAAATCAATGCTGTGAATACTGTGTGTGCTGAGCCTATTTGATCTCCATGGTTGTCATGGCTACACTTCAAGGTATTGATTCATCCACAGGGATTTCAGGGTTGGATGGTGCCTGCATTGAGGCTGGAATCTTTTGTCCCACAAAATCTAAGCAAATTCTACAATGAACCCATTTTCACATGCACGCAAGGCAGCGTGTGAGATTTTTGGAGCATTTTCTCCAATGCCTTCTGCTAAAAGCAGCAAGCCCTGCTGCCAAAGGTGTCACAGAGACATGTGAAAATTGACTGTGAAATTAGAATGACAAAATAAAATGCACTCAGACTGCTGCAGGCTTGCCCCAGACGCATAGTCTAGGCATAAATTCTGTTGAAGTTCACTGGATCATTTTATTTATGTATTAGATCTGGTAGGATCACCTATAAAAAGGAAGTAATTTGAAAAGAGTGTTGGTTGTATCCCAGCTGTATCTTAGTTTTAAGTTTCCTAATTTTTTTTAGCTTACTATTTTTCAAGTGTGGCATATATTAAAAATAACAGAACGTTGCCTAATTGTACACACATTCCTTCACTCGGCCTGGATGCAATTTTTATACTAATCCTAAAGAACTGGACAGACAGCACATTAGTGCTGCTATAAAAGTCTAGGGGAGAGATGCCAGAAATGTCTAACCCAGGATAACATCTACCTTTCTATTGGAGAATTATCCTGGAAAGAAGCAGGAGTATAATTGTACCATTGTAAGGTATAGTAGTTTAGGTCTGTCAGCATTCACCCCAAGGTCACTGCATTTGCTCTTTGTTCCCCTTCTACCTAGTGATGAGGCAGAGGAATAAGCAATTGGTCAGTCTTGGCAAATTGAGCATCCATCTCTTTCCAATTTTAGTGTATTTATATTTGCATACAAAATTTATGTAAATTATACCAAGGCATATTTTGTCTCCGCATAGCAATTTGAGAGATGAAATTAGTTCTCTGTCTATTTAGATGTAGCCTTCATCATAGAATCCTTTACAACCCCCTCTGCTCTGAGGTAGTAATATTTTAGTCCCATTGTACATGTGAATTGATTTAGGCCAGACAGAATTGTCTGTGCATAGATTTGAAAGTAAACCCTAGTTTCTTGAGGCTAAACCCAGTGCCTTGTCCACCTGGTCCTCCCCTGAGATTAACCATGACTGAAAATGTGATAAAAATAAAGGAATGTTAAGCAAGTGAACAGCAGTTCAGTCATGCTGATACTACCGTATTTCAACAGGCATTGTCTGGAAGTGCTGACGTTTCTGCAAATAGAAGACTGTATATGTACTGTGAGCAAATGCTTCGGCGAAGCACTTTCTGTGGGGTATAACTGCAGGCTACAAATTGCAGAACAGGTGCTTCAGAACCTGTTTCATGTACTGAACACAACAGTATTTCCCTTAGCAGTACTTCAAGTGGATGCCTTCCAAGCAATTCTTTCAATATAGGTGAAAGAAAATCCAGTGAAATTCTCCAGCCCATCGAAACCTGTTTCCTAACATTCAATAACTTTCTACAGAAGGATTTATTTTCTCCTACCTTCATTTATTTTTTTCTCTAGATTTCCATTATTGCTTGCTAATTATATTAAGAAGGTCACTATTTACCTTTCTTTTCAGTTTTTGCTCTCTGGGTTTTTCACACATTGGTTACTTTCCATGGCATAGGAATTAAAAAAGATGAGGCACTTTCAGAGAAGAGATGAAAGCTCAGTATTTGTTATTAAAAGATAATTTGGTTGCTCAAAGAGTACAAGTGATTTCTTCTCACCACAAATTTAATCTTACCTCATGTTGCAATATAAGATTAGTGTATAAAACTTAGTTAATTTATATGTAGGGCATCATAGACACATTCAGCTGAAGTCAAGAGGACTGAGTTAAACTGAGTGTAAATGAGAGAACTGAATTAAATGCATTCATTTGCATACCATTCACACAGCTTTCCCCCAATAATCACTTGTCCAAAATTGGGATGTGTTTTTAATCAGGGAAAATGATTTTTCTGCCTGGAACAGAAGCATGGAGATGCTGCAAGATGGCTTCTGCTTCTATTGTATTTGCAAATTTGAAGCAGAAGGCAGGGTAGAGATGTACTGTATAGACCAACTGAATTAGCTGACAAATGTGGAGGCCAGAAAACTTTGAGACTCTTGTGAGATAAATATGACTGTGAAACCCTGCCCTTATTAAAGTTGGAGGGGATTTTGTCACTTGTGAAGCCGGGATTTCATCCTAACTTTGTGAGTAAAGGATTACTAGATTAAATCATAAAATATCTTTCAAATGTGAACTTGTCTGAATACTGACATTGTCAGTCATGCTATGTCAGCATTCAGACAATACGGAGCATATATTTTCAAGTCAGTATTATATAGGAATGTAGAAATATAGTACAGAAGCACCCACTTACAAACAGAGCACGTACCAGGTTTAACTGGTAGCTGAACAAATTAAGATCTCATTAACAGCTCTGTAAAATGTTTACGTTTTTACATTTTAGGGAAAAAAATATTTTTGTACATCTCGTAATAACCCAGTGAAAACTCAAACTTTAGGCAATATGCTGAACAGAATGGTTTCGATTTCATCATGATCTGGTTACCTGGAGTGAACGAAGCAGGAAGGCCAGTTTTTGTTTCGTGTATCAAAGGTTCCCTAGCTCTGCCAGAAAGAATAGCTCCTATTGTGGTTGTGCACCCTCAGCTTTACAAGCTGCATGCGTGAAGTAAATTCCAGTTACAAACTTGTCTCTATTGTATTTTTCTTTCTCCTTTCTTGATTGCTTGTTCAAGATTTTTTTGGCCACTATAGACTGTTGCATCTACTGATGAAAAGTGCCATATAAGAACTGGATGTTGTGTAGAGAGTGATTTTTCAGCACTGTAGTGAAGAGTCAAGACAATGTTGGGTGGTTTTGGAAAACAACAACAACAAAAACTTTCCCTTTAGTGTTTTTTGTTGTTGTTGTTTATAAAAATAAGCACGTGCTGACTCTGGATCTGAAGGTTATCATCCAGCCAGGTCTTCAGCTCTTAGAAAAAGCACTGGATTTTTACCTTTGTCCAGAAACTACTTTCTCTGTGACACCCATGAACTGTGCTTTGGGAGTACAGACTAAGTTTGGCAAGCTAGTCAACTGACTGTTCAGATAATGTCAACTGACTGGTCAGTTTACTGCCTGTTACTGGACCATAGTTAAAATTTGTCAAATGTTTCATGAAGCCAGTACCGTGGCAAGGGAGTTTGGCACCTGGGGAAGCACTTGCAGTGGCAGCCCACCCTGTCCCCATGCACAGATCCAGGGGGCATGTGCCCCACCACACTTGCCCAGGAGTGCACACAGTGGCAGGAGCTGCCCTCCGCTCCACCAAACGAAATGAACGCGGCTCCGTTTTGTGCTACCTCCCAGGTGGGCAGTGCCTGTTGGTGCCCTTTCGCTTCAGTGCCCAGGGTGGTTACCCTGCTCGCCCCCCACCCCTCTCTTGCTACAGCATTGCACAAAGCTATGAATGCCCTTGTGTAGATGGCAGCCTACCTTTCTGATTGTACCTGTGTCATGATAGCAAAGGCAGGACTCACACACACACATCTACACACCATTTAGGAGTAGGCTCCCCTGAGCTCTTCCAGACTTCCTTTCCTTTTCCCCTCCTATTAAGCCACATGGGTATGTAGGAACTACTCTGTGCTGAGGAAAGAACCTAAACTAGAAACATAGAAGAGCATCTTCTATTGGACATCTGCTGTGACTGCAGGTAGATCCAAATGCAAACAGCTAAAGGCTTGAAGTTGGCTAGCTGCCTACTTAGCATAACTACTTTTTAAAAACTGTCTTTTATTTCTTTCTTTCCTGCTGGGCCAGGCCAAGATGGGCACCCTGAAGAGCCGGCGAAACTGGCTCGCTGAGACCGGGATGGTCGACGCCCTGCAGCTCTTCCGCCTGCTGGTGCGGGCCCGCCTCTCGCTCGAGTTTGAGCATGTGGTCCTGCGGCGGAAGGTGCCCACCTTCGAGGAATGCTGGGCCCTCGAGGGGGCGCTCTGCTGAGTCGAGGCAGAGTGCCTGCTCCTTGCCCTGTAACACCCCCGGCTGCTCAAGCTTGCGCGATGCGTCCAGCGGGCGGAGGCCTTGGACTTTGCTTCACACGGGTCGAGCCCTGAGGCCCCCCATGGGTGTCCCCACTGGCAGAAATGTAAATATGCAAATAGACCTTTGGCTCGCTATGGTTTTTTAGTCTAGAGTGTATGGGCAGGCCTTGCAGGCCGTGAGCCCAGGACCATGTCCATGAGGCCCAGGTGTTCGGACCAACCTGTACATACTCTTTACTGGCCCCGATTTGTCACCCTCCCTGGATTAAATGCCTCTTAAAAGTCAAAGTCTAACCTACTTAGTACTATAGTCTCTTGTTACTGCTAAATATAAGAACAGCATAAGAACATAAGAACTGCCATTTACTGGGTCAGATCAGAGGTCCGTCTTGCCTAGTCTCCTATGTCACATAGCAGCAAAGAGTGAATGCTGAAAGAGAGATTGAACAGGGTGTGACCATGGTATGACCATAAATAATACATTTATGCTGAACATATTTGACTGACTAATTTGACCAAGTATTTTTTTACTGGTCAAATACCCATCCCTAGTTCAGATTCTCAAAGCAACCTTTCCCAGTAGGGTCTCCAAGTACTTTCTTCTTTAAACTCCTGAAAGACAATTGTAATTCTGGTTGTCATTTGGTACTGGACCATTGTAGGCTGCATTCTGTCCCTTCTAGCTGATATCTATCTAGCTAGTATAGTCCCCTTCTTGATTTTTTTTTTTTTTTTTTTTGTCCTGAGGAAGAGGCACATTCATTTGGGCTTGTAGAAGAACTGGTGTGAAATCCACTGAATTTTACCCTTTGTGGAGTCAAAAGGTAAGATTTACCATTGGTATACATGAGTACAACTTTCTTGATCTGTACTGTTGCACCTAGTTATTCCAGTGGCAAATTTAGCCCAGATTCTATTTTTTTGGATAGAATAGCTGTTGAACAGTATTAATATTAATATTAGCATTAATATCATATAGGTGTATGTATATATAGGATATTAATACTGTTATTATTAATATATATTATTAATATATATATTAATACTTATATATATATCAAGCCTGATTTCTCAATGTCTTGAGAACCCTTGCTCCCATTATTCTGTAGGAGAGATGGAATTAGACTATTGATCATTGCTATATTTAAGGATTAAGGATCCTTAGACTACTTCAGCATCAAAACTAATCGCCCTTGGAAACAATAAGGAGTCTTTCTTTCCCCTGTGCATAATTTGATCAGCCACATATAGGGTTTGCTTATTTATTCATTTACTTATCCCTGTGACATCAAATAGTGGCCTCTATAAAAGGGACTACTCAGTGGACTAATGTTCTGGTATAGGGATGTCCAACTGACAGCTCACAGGCCACATACGCCCCTTGAGGGTTTAATGTGTGGCCCCCAGGCTTCTGGTCCAGGCATCACTTCCTCTGCTTTCCTGCTGCTGCCAGAGTCCTTGGGTTCACCCACCTCCTCCAGCTTCTGCTGTTTGCCCTGCCTCTGGGGGTGGGGCAGCATGGCATGGCTCACAGGGCTGAGGGACCCTATGGCTGGAGGGCCTCAGGGGAACCTGGGGATCCTGTGCAGCATGGAGGAGCAGTGCAACATAGCAGGAGTCACCTTCCTCACAGCTTGGGGGAGGGAGGGAGTGGAGCTGCATGGCACATCTGCACAGGGGAAAATTATAGGTCAGAGGGCTTGCACAGTATGTCAGCAAGCCGTGCGATGTGGCTGGGGGTGGAGGTTGCATGGTTCAGTGCATGGGCCACTGGGCATGTGACTAGGGGGCCTGTGGCCCCCAGCCACTCAGATAGGGGGAGCCACTAGGATAGCTCTAGTCTGATACAGGATGGCAAAATCTTCTGTTTCTCTTCCATAAAATCTCCAAGATTTATTTTTTTAATAAAATGTTATGATTCTTACAACCAGCAGCAGGAGCAAGGGGAAGATGAGGAAGAGATAGGAATGGAAATGAGGCTCTATAGTCTAGGTCATCCTAACTAATTTTGTTAACTGCAAAGAGAGCTCTTACAGTACAGTTTAAACAATGTACTAATCAAATATTTTATTTGTAATAAACATTTCCTTATGGGCAGCTAAGTAATAGAGGGTCTGTCAAATTGTTTTAAATAACTGCATCACTTAATCAGAATAAGTTCTTGAGTGAAGTTGTTAAAGTTTCATTTTGGAGGGTTTCAGCATCTGCATCTGCTGAATGATTTATCACCCTGACATTAACTGAGTATTATGGGGGAAAACACAGTTTGACCTCAGGCGAGCTGGCTTGAGACATAAGACTGTTCCAGGCTGAATTTTCCTTCTTAAATTTTTCATGAAATTCTCTCAGCAGGGCCACTGTTCAACTCTGAAAAGATTTTGAACCTAATAACCATAACTGCTCCAGCCCAACCATCCAAAAGAAAAAAGAAAAAAAAGAAAAAAGATTATTCTATCAATGCTTTCCCCCCCCTCCCCCCCCCCTTTTAAATGCAGCATAATAATACTGAATAGGTTTAAGGGCCATCAATTGTAAAATTATCATTTTTCAACAAAGCAATATTATATTAAACACTTAATTATTCATTACTAATGCTTGTCATGGTGAAATATTGGCCCCTGTAATTTTTAAAGCACCAGGCCTAGCTTCTCTTCCTTGAAGGTTAATGGCTGAGCCCTCAGTTTCATTAGCCTTCCTAAACATAGCACACCTCATATGTCACAGCTTAGCTTTTCTCTCTCTCATTTTCTTAGTAACCAAAGACCACACATTGCAAAATGATTTTTAAGATCTATTGCCTGGCATCATTTTGGTGTTTGCACTGGGGTGAATGGTCTATAGTGGTATAAAAATGTGTAGTAATGCAGGGAAGGTTGGGGGCAGTCTCAGGTACAGTTATTCTTGGCTAAACTGAATCATTTCTGCACAGGCATTTTTAAAATGGTAGTACTTAGCTTTAAATGGGACAAGAAGCACTGAGATTATGAGGAAATTATGCAACTCGCAGAAAGCTATTTAGTCATCTGAAATTGTATGCATGAAATATTGATGGTGCATTAGTTACATGATTGGGATGACTGTTGACTGCATACATCCTTACTGCATACAGGGCCCAGGACTACAGCCTTAAGGTTTTTGCTCTTTAAACCTCTAACAGAACACCATTATTTAGCTTTTATGTTAAAGTAGTATATTTTGGAGTCCACATTCAATATTTACTACCTGTGTAGGGGCATGAACTGTGGAGTATTTAAATCACCATACTTATGTGGAATATTAAAACATTTTAGCAGCAGCAAAAATCACATTTTAATAGGGAGTCTCTTCATTTAATTGTGGTAGAGTACAGATAACTTTGCTATGTTTCATAAAAATCTTCAAACATTATTTCCATTACTAAATTTCTTGTGTACTCAAAACATTTCCCACAAAATTTGGGAGGAGTTTTTAGTGCAGTATTAGACTCACTGGGCACGTAACCAAAATTACTGCATAGTACGGGCATGTGTCTACACGTGCATGCTCATACTGTGAAGTAAATACGGTGACTTACGCTGATTTGAGCATAAATTTGATACTTGTATCATGCGGGAATCAAATTTATTCTTGATTAGTTACTGCACAGTAACGTACCTGTAGATGCCTTACTGAGCAGTAACACTGTGTGTGTGTGGACTGACTTTGGTCCCAAGTCAGTCCACACACAGCATTAATGTGTCTTAGTGCCTCGACATGTAGATGCTGACCCATTCCTGTTTACTGCACAGTAATTTATTGCACAGGAAATTTAAGCCAGCATAAATGGATGTGTAGACACGCCCACTATATTTTACATGTGCCTCTTTTGGAGAATATTGGATAAGTGAAGAACAAATGGTAAATAAAAACCCCAAACACATCTAAGCCTACCATTTTTATTTGGTAAACTTCTTTTCTTTCACCCATTCTAATGGCATTTATTTTATGAACCCGTTGGCTTGGAGAATTATTTAGCTAGTTTCTGAATTTCTCTGAGCTTTTCCATGTATGTTTTTCATTTTAAGCCCATCTCATTGTAGGTAAATGGGTATTGTTATGAACTGTGCTAATTAATTACTGATTTTTTCCTATATATAAAGCTGGCATCATATAACTAACAATTTTTGATCCTATCTGCATATGTGCCAGTGTCCTGTAAATATAAACATGATAATTTTCAGCAGAGCTATTTTATACACTGAACAGCAGATAATTCATAGGAATTCCATTTAGTTGTTGAAACAATTTCAAGACATTTCTAACAAAAGTCTTTACTGGCTAGTAGTCAGACAGATGAATGAAGAAGGAATGAACTGAAAAATGTGTGTGGTACAGGTTAGTTTATTGCACCCAGCTGCCATGGACATTAATGGAAGCTGGACCTTATGAAAGGGAGGTGGCCTTAGGCTTGTAATCTACTTGTCTACTGGTAGAAAAGTAGATCTTGTCTACTTTTTATATTTCACTCATCTTGGATTGTTTATTTTCACTTTTTGAATATTTTGCACTGTGGCCAAATTCCTGGACTCCCCCACCCTCCATGCTGTCTTGACTTACAGTAAAAACTTTGAAGTCTTTTTAAGAGGAGGCAAATGCCCTCATTGAAACCCTTCCTGTGGAGGTCCCTTGGGAGGGCTGTGTTTGAACTGTGCTACTAGGGATTCTTCCTGGAAGGTCTCATCTGAAAGGACGATAGAGCTCTCAGCTCTGCTTTTTTTACCATGCGAGTCTCAGCGAGGGCACAAAGGGAGTGCTCTCTATTTCCTTCAATTCCTCAGCAGACTGACAATTTCTGATGTCTTCTAGTCACAAAACCTGCCTCCACACAGCACCTGGAGACTCGCATTTACTTAAAAAGATTCAGGAGTTATAGTTCTTAGAGAAACAGTCAAAATAAGTATCTATTTTAGGTTACTTATTATTACTATTGAGAAATGCACAAATAAAAAAAAAGATAGTTTTGATATATTTCATTGAAATGGTTGTACTCTTTTACACCTCATTTCCTGTACCTTTGACTCTGTCTCTAAACTGTCTGTTTCCCTGATAAAATGTGAAAACTTAAAATGAAAAGGTACCTTTTATATTTTGGGCATTTCCAAAAGATGGCCCTTTACATATAGCCCTTGTGCTGTCCTTGTGTAGTTCTTGCTCAAAAGCTAATTACACTTTTTATTTTGGACATAGATAAAATACAGTGATAAGTTTAGATGGGTGCACAGTGTAATACTACCTCTGATCTAGGAATATTCTGTTCCGTGATGCTTGCAAAACCCCGGCACACTAGCTGTTATTGCCACCTATATAAGCACTTTTTATGTAAGTGCAGAACTAAATGCAATCAGACACTGCTTTTCAGTGTGGGAAACTTGAAGAGAATAAAGGACATACAGGAAGCTGTGTTCTAGAACCAAAATTCAGGGTATTGGTCAGCACAAGAGTATGAAGTATGTAAAGATTGGGCAAAGCTAATCAGTGAACAGAGAAACTCATGCATGTCACAATTCCCATAACAGGTTGTAGAAGCCACTGCCACGGTCAGACTGTGCATGTTTCCCTTCTCCCCATTTTAATGTTATGAAGAGAGTTTTACCTCCCTTATAAAAGATATCACATCTATTCAAAGAACCTTGCCTGCCTATTTTAAGTTCTGATAAGTTATTTTATTAGGACTTCTAAGGAAGGAATCAAGTTACCATCATTGGGCACTTTGGTGCACATATACCAGGGGACACAGGTTTGGTGATGTTTGGTATGTCTAAGTTTAACTTCCAGGAACTCAGCTCTTGGAGTT